ACTCAACAGACAGACACAGCATTCAACTGAAACAGAACAGCTGTGAGGACGGCTCAGGGCCAGGCAGTGTTTCCTTCTATTGTGCATAGTCAGAAATGAGAGTCAGAAGCAACATGATGACACCTGACAACAAGGCTTGGATCCACCATTTTTGCATTTTTATTTCCACCTGTATTGTTGAATGAGCATTTTCCTTAAATAAGTTCCTTATCAGAGGAAAGTAGACATCACTACCATACATAGAAATGTGGTTTCCTGTCATACATAGTATCCTGTCAAAGAACTGACACGAGGAAGGCAGCAGGCATTCATTAAATTCTACTTCCACAAAGGCTCTGAGCCTGCAGCCTGCTCCACTGGGGACCAAGGGACATTGCCACGTGATCGTGGCATTAAGGATCTACTATAATGAGAAATGTTGTCCTGGAAGGAATCAAAAGAACGTTGTAACTGCGTAATTCACTGTGTTATTTGAGAATCTGGGCCATCGTTATGAAGCAACTAAGGGTGGTCTCTCACTTTGGAAATCCTGTAGTTGTGCATGGGTTCAACCACTTGTTACTTTTTGTCATCTTTAAGAAAATGTCCAAGTTCCTTACAACCACTGGGTTCCTTCCCTCATTACCCACTTTTAAAAAATTTTTTAAACAAATTCCTTTCTCCCTTCATTCTGTCTTGATGATTCCCCTCGCTCATGGCTATAGGAACCAATGCTGGCTCATAGTGATCCTATATGACAGAGCACAACTGCCCCTATGGGTTTCGGAGATGGTCCATCTTTATAGGAGCAAAAAGCCTCATCTTTCTCCCATGGAGTGTCTAGTGGTTTTTAACTGCAGTGTGTAACCCACTCCTCCACTAGGGCTCCTGTCAAGGCTCCCCAATACAACCTCTTCATCTCCATCATGGTGCGTTTCTCTTACCACGGTGGACTTTCTTTGCTCTCTCTTCCCACTTTCTCCAAACTCCACTGTCCCTCCTTCTCTTCTTTCCTGCCTCATCTCCCCTGCCTTTTCCTTTCTGCTTTCTCATCTCCTCCTTTCCTCTTCGGATCTCTTCCAACTCTCTGGAAATCCTCTCCCATCTCACCCTTCGCCTTTCCCAACACCCCACCCCCACCCCCGAGATCTCTCCCAGGTACCCCTTTACACGTCAAAAACCCAAACTCGCTGCCATTGAGTTGATTCCAACCCAAATCCCTCCACAATCTCCCCTCTCCATTTCTAGCCTGCCCAAAGCTTCGCCTGTCGAAACATCGTCCCGCCCCCAGAACTTCCGTCCAGGGGCTCCCCCTCGCCCCTCCACACGGCCCCTGGCAGGCGGGTCGCCGACCGAAACCCCAATTTTACCATGGCGCTGTGCGGGCCGCAGGACTCTCCGTCTCAGTCGGGCGCCAAGGCTACCTCGGTTGTCAACAACGCTTCCAAGCGTTGCTAGGAGACAGTGGCGGAAGTGACCTCGCGGATGCGTCTGAGCTGAACTTCCGTCCAGGGGCTCCCCCTCGCCCCTCCACACGGCCCCTGGCAGGCGGGTCGCCGACCGAAACTCCACCTCTGTCATGGCGCTGTGCGGGCCGCAGGACTCTCCGTCTCAGTCGGGCGCCAAGGCTACCTCGGTTGTCAACAACGCTTCCAAGCGTTGCTAGGAGACAGAGGCGGAAGTGACCTCGCGGATGCGTCTGAGCTGCGCCTGCGTGCACGCGGATCGGCGCTTCCGCCCGGAACGCGGCGCGGAGCTTCGCGGCCGCCGTTGCGGGGGCGGGGCCGGTGGGGCTTCCGGTTGGCGCGCGGGAGGGTCCCCGCCGGCGTCTCAGGAGACCTGGCCGCAGGTGGGCACCGCCAGGGCCTGCGCCTGTGGGAGCGGGAGCGCCGGACGAGGAGCAGCAGGCACAGCGGTCGTTTCTGTTAAAAAACGAAGCAAGTGTTTCTGTTAAATTAAGCTAGGGTTTTTTAAAATAACCATTCAAAGATGTGCCAATAGGGAAGCCCCTGTTAGAAAGTTCCTCAAGGAAGGGAGCCTCAACCCTATATGCGTTATACTTAGTTTTGCGGCAGCCGGAGCCCTGGTGGCGCAGTGGTTTATGTGTTGGGCTGCTAATTGCAAAGTCAGCACTTCGAAACCACCAGCCGCTC